ACATTTGAGCAATGCAATTGTAGTGGATAAAATGGTTAATTTTTCCGTTTGACCTAGAGTTGTCTCCTTCCTTTTCTGACCTAGTGCTGCTCTTTTCTACTTTGCGCCGGTCAAACTTAAGGCCACATCGTTACAGAAAGTAAACGAAGTATATCAACCTATCTCGCCTATTTATTCTTGAGTTCCATAGAGTTCTCTATTCTCCTATTCTTTTCCGCCGCGCTCACTGTGTCCATGTTTCATGTTTCGCACCCGTACAATGCCACGCTCCAAACATACACCTTTAACAACCTTTTTCGAATTTCTAAATTAACCGTTTGCGATCATAGAAGTGACTTCTTTTTATTAAAGGTGACACGACCCTGCGCTATCATCTGCTTTATATCCCTACTACTCCATTCGTCCTGACTTATCTGACTTCCTAGGTATCTAAAATCGGTCACTTCTTCTAATTTTTCATTTCCTATCTTTATATTCGCTCCTTTCATACTTTTTCTTCCCTTTCATACCAATATTTTTGGTTTAATTTTAATTAATTTTGAGTACGTCATGATATAATTTTATTTCATTTCTATCATGATATAATAATAAATCATTGAATTAAATTTATGTCAATTCATATTTAATAATTATTCATCTTTTAAGATGTATGTAGATGTATACTAAAAATAATATCTAAATATTAAAGTTATACTTCAATCATAAACTGTGCCAAATTTAATTTCAAATGCTTGTATACCCATAATTTTAATTCATAAATTACTATAATCTAAGAATTGTTTGTTGATGAAACTAAATTGAAACTGCATTGTAGGTACGCAATAAAAATTTACAATTAAAATTATAGTACATAATACAAATTCTCAATTAAAATTATACTGTACATAAACTACGTGAAATCAGGGAAAATATCAAAGAAATTAGATTTTAGTTTTTTAAATCTACGCAACATTGAAACAATTCAGTTTGAACCTTATCAAAAAGCAAATTGTACATTTTATGATAGCTGTGCCCATATCGAACATATAAACTAATTAATAAACCTAATAAATTCATATTGGTAGGTATTTATGCAGTATATGGTGAGTTTACTTCCGAACAACTGAAAGAAATTTATGTAAACCCTAAAAATATCAGTCATTGATCGTTGGCTCCTGATCGATAGAGTAAAAACTTTTGGTCTCGTGTGTCCTGATGTTGAGGTGGTTAAATAATATAACGCAGAATAACGATAACAACTTTAATAAACAAGAACAAAAAAAATGAAGACTAGAATTAAGAATGTAGAATGGTGAAGTTGAAATTAGGAAGGATAAGTCAGAACTGATTTTAGTTTTTGAAAAAGAGATCGTAAGAAGGGTGATAAGGAGGAGTTAGAAATAAGTTAATTAAAGTAGGGAACCAATAAGATGGTAGTAAAACCTGGAAATTTAGTTTAGAAGAAATACCTAGAAATTAAGTTTGACCCCAAATCACCGAAGAAACTGACCATAAAACTGCAATTAGGAAAAGTAAGAATTATAGACGTCATGCAGTTAGTATACAGAGTTGAATTGTTAAAAGGGATGATAGCAAAGTACGTAGGCAATTAAATAGTCGTTTAGCTGAAGAATAGGTATAGAGTAGGTATAGAATAGAGTAAGTATAAAAATAGAATTATAAGAAAAGAATATTTACACAATAATAATACAATAATACAGAAATTCCAAACACACAAATACATGCATCACAGACATACCAAAAAATATATACAACCACACACTCAATACCTTACTCTAAAAAATTAATTACTTTCTTAAAAACTATCAAATCGCCACAAACTATTTTAGCTACAGTTGTGATAAATAATTTTCTTTGAAAACAAATAGAAAATTTCGTTTCCTTTATTAGTTAAATAAAAATTCTGCTGCAGAAATTTAACTCGTCTAAAAGAATTCTTACTTAACGAATTTTGCGGTATCAATCAACCTAATTATGTTCTATTGTATGATTTTTTTTTGATATTAGGAATCAATATTTAAATAACCGTTGCTTTAGAGTTCATTTTTAATTTTGCTACGTGGTGGTTAACATCAAAAATTATTACATTAAACTTAATGCACGTAGTTCCCTTTACTATTTCAAAAAAATCACGTTTTTGAATGCTTACGTAACTTTTCCATTCTCTCATGGTAAGTCGATAAACTAATATATATGAATAATCCTAGTTAAAATAACATTTTATCAGGTCAAAAATGTATTGTTGCAGATTAATTAATACACTATAACGATGCAAATATATACAGGGTGTTCCATCTAAGATGGTTTCGTTCATAACTCTGTTATTATACACTTAATAAAAAAATGTTTTTATAAAAGAAGTCTGGTATCATATGATGCATATACAGAAAATATTTTCAGTCATACAGGGCGTTCCATTCCTCCTGGACGCAGCCTAACTTCGTTATTTTAAATAGAACACCCAGTATATATTTACATTTTTTCGAATTTGAGCAGGAAATATCGAAACCTACTCTTGACAATCTTACAAGACGAATAACTTTTTTTTTTCAAATGGAATGATACTTATCTGCTTATGTAGGTATAGTTTTCTACAAAAAATCGATTATTTTATATTTAAAACCTTATATCAGTAGAAAGGGCTTTTAATTTTGCATCGAACAGCAAAATAGATGTGGTAATTCGTGCTGATACGAACTGTCCAAACTGCAGATTTTTAACTTTTATGGCCTCATTCAAAGAGCTGATAGTATTTTTTTTTTTCAAAAACAGATGAATATCTCAAAAACAACTACAGATAGTTATACAAAACTGTTAACAAAGACGACCCAAAATTTAACAAAAAAACAAAAAATGTCAAAATATACAGGGTGTTCCTTTTAAAATAATGAAATTAGGTAGCTTCCAGAAGAAACGGAACACCTTGTATGATTGAAAATATTTTCTGTATATGCAGCATATGATTCCGGACCACTTTTACAAAAACATTAATTTTATTAAATACATAAAAGTAGAATTATCGACAAAACCGCAATAGGTGGAACACCCTGCATTTAAATGACGAGAACGTCGTTCCACCCGTTGTTGTAGGTGAAGGAAGAATGAGAACGCTTTCTTAATTTACTGAACATTCATTGGATATGGAAGGATATAACAGTGTCCACTTCTTTGCAAAGAAAGTTGACCTGTAAACCACTATTTTCAATATTAATCACCTGACCGACATAATATTGTTACCTAGAAACTTATTGATAAGCATAAAACCTTTCTTTGATTCTTCTTCGCTTCCATTGTTTTTGATGAGGAAGTGAACTGATGCTATTCTGATTTGGGTTTAAAGGCCGTCTTGTATTGCAGTTACTTCCTAACGTTTCGCTAGCACGAGTGGCGAACTTCTTCGAAAGTCCTTTCATCCAGCTCTAAATCCAGTATCGAAGATGGAAGAACCTCTGAAAAATTTAGCCACTCGTGCTAGCGAAACGTTAGGAAGCAACTATCCAATCGACGACGACCATTACACCCGAATCAGGATACCATCAGTTCAACTACTGGCCGCCTTTACCAATTTACTGAACAGTGTTGTAAATAGTTGTTTTACCCAAAATTTTAGTAACAACCAAGGGCTTTGCCAGCCAATGGGTCACGGGGAGGGAAAAGATGGTAGATAGAGAATATGAATGGAAGGTAAAAGTTTTAATCGTCTACTACAAAAAGAAAAAAATATCTTCTTGTTCTTGGGTTTCTTGTTTTATCAACTACTTTTTTATTCTATGTTCTCACAATCAGTGAATTTTTTGATGAACACCTATCATCACAAGACCATTAAGACGACTTTCCACCATTATATTTGTTAGTTAGGTTTTTATATTCCTCTTAGGCTGTTAAAGGATTAAAGTAGAGTGCACGTTAGGCACGAGAGAGACCAAATTTTTTAAAGCATTACCAATTTCAACAGAGAACAAAAAAGGGTTTCGTGTCTTTAAGATATCAAAAATGGAAAGCCCCGTTACATTACTGTATCTTGCTATAACTTTCAATTTCATTTTTTTATATTCGGTAAATCTCTTAAAATTGGGCGAAGGTTTTATAATAATTTAATTAAATTT